GGCTGCTTTATCGCAGGCGGGCAGACGTCTGCAGGGACGAAAACATGACAGAAGAAGCCGTGAAATCATTGCGGCGCTCCGAGGAAAACTATAGAGTAAACATAGGAGGGGGGGGGGGGGAGACACAGAGAGAAACCCACTGGGAATTCCTTCAAACACATGAAGTCTAAAATCATCTTTATCTTTCCTGAGACATGGAAGAAGGAGAGGCGAGAGATAAGGGAAAGACGTTTTCCCAAGCCCCTTTTTAGGACAGTCTGCCAACACATCACCTCATTTAGAGTTTAGAGTCATTATTTATTTTTAATACAACTGATATTTTAATGGACTCCCGCCATTGGAAGATCAAACCACTCTGCACCTTATATACCTTATATGTAATGGCTTACACGTTAAGATGCAATTCCCCTCTTCTTGTGTGCATGAATTGGATGTTGGCTGTGAATGGGGATCGTTATGTTATCCTATTTGCCAAAGACACAGTTCCACGATATGTTATTTTAATGGATAATCAAGTATCTGATAATGTCTAGGGAATCAGGAGTTTGTTTTTCCCACATGTGGCACACAACAGGAGATTTTCAGCGTCTAAAGCGTTATCACTTCCTTGAAATACTCCCATTTACTCCCTTTGAGCACGCATGCTAACTCAGAGGATTTGGACGGTTGAATACAAAAAGCTACTTTACAAAAATATCTGTGTACGCCAGAGTAGACGAGCGAACTGTCTCTGTTGTTGGAAACCTACCTAAAATGTTTGATGGTCTTATTTTAACAATGTGATCACGTGACTCCTTCTGATGTCACTGCAGATCCAACCCAGTCCCACGGCATTTCGTGTTATAGTCACGAAATGTATTTAATCTATTGATTCGTGTTCACCAACACGATTTCCCATTTTTCTCGTGTCACACAGAACGATTTTAAAAGCAATGTATTTCTATTGGTTGGATGTTTCGTGCCTGCGTCTTTTTGTCCGGTCGGGTCTTGGAAGACCGGAAGCTGTGTGGTTCATTAGGGGTTTCACAACTACCAATATTTACTAGTCGACGCGTTTTTCAAAATAGCAGTCGACTAGTCGTTACGTCATAATAAAGACACACAAAGAGAGGTGTACAACTGTATTTTATATTGGAACTCATACAGTTACATTAAACACTGCATTTTAATTTGTGTTACATGGCTGAGTAAATAACAAACAGTAACTGGACTTAGTAAATAACAAACAGTAACTGGACTTAGTAAATAACAAACAGTAACTGGACTTAGTAAATAACAAACAGTAACTGGACTTAGTAAATAACAAACAGTAACTGGACTTAGTAAATAACAAACAGTAACTGGACTTAGTAAATAACAAACAGTAACTGGACTCACCTAAATCGACAGCAAAAAACTCTGTTTACTGAAATGCCACGTAAATCCAGTGCGCAACAGCGCATTGCGCAACACTTTACTCGCTGTCCTCCACGATAACGTCCACCTTTCCAGGTTTTTGGTTTGCGTTGAGGAACACCAACGCATCGACATGTGAGGGAAGGAGGCTTGACCGCTTTCGGGTGACAGCGTTGCCTGCCAGGTAAAAAACCCTCTCACTCGGGGTGCCTGTGGCTGGAATAGCTCCTCGAAAGCTTGGCTGCTCACTGGTGCTAGCATTACTGCTAGTGCTAGCTGTCGGCAGCGGGTGTCTCATCTTCAGATGGTTGCGCATAGCAGATGTATTTTTGTTGTACTTCAGTACAGCTGTACACAACTGACACTTCACTGTGGAGTTGGTTACATCTTTGTTGAAGTACTGCCATACATAAGAATGTAGGACGTGTTTTTAAGCATTTTGCAGCACCTCGTTTACCTCCATTTTTCACACGACTAGTCGACTAGGGCCTACAGCGCCGACTAATGGTAAAGGTAGTCGACTAGGCGACTAGTCGATTAGTTGGTGAAACCCCTATGGTTCATACAAACATCTTCTTACTCAATATCTTACCCTAACCCTTTTATCTTGAATTGTATAATATCTGAGTTTTTTTGCCGTCCGCCAGGAAAATAAATGGCTCAGAGCCTCAGAATACTGACATCTGTATTTTCTTCTCTTTTTCATAATAATTTGTTATTATTTACATTGCTTTTGAAATCGTTCTGTGTGACACGAAAAAAATGGCGAAATGGTGTTGGTGAACACGAATCAATAGATTAATTTCGTGACTATAACACGAAATGCCGTGAGACTGTGTTGGCATATCTGCTGTAAGCTAACGTAGCTAACCTAGTGATTTCAGATCTACTGACAAACACTTACAGTTATGAGACGGCTCACTCTGAGACAGAGACCGTTGTTCAGCTTTATCATCCTGAACGTCTCCAGCTGTGTGCGTCACTCTTTAATGTCCCCTGGTCTCCCAGCTGTGTGCGTCAGTCTTTAGTGTCCCCTGGTCTCCCAGCTATGTGCGTCACTCTTTAGTGTCCCCTGTTCTCCAGCTGTGTGCATCACTCTTTAGTGTCCCCTGGTCTCCCAGCTGTGTGTGTCACTCTTTAGTGTCCCCTGGTCTCCCAGCTGTGTGCGTCACTCTTTAGTGTCCCCTGGTCTCCAAGCTGTGTGTGCATCACTCTTTAGTGTCCCCTGTTCTCCAGCTGTGTGCATCACTCTTTAGTGTCCCCTGGTCTCCCAGCTGTGTGCGTCACCCTTTAGTGTCCCCTGGTCTCCAGCTGTGTGCGTCACTCTTTAGTGTCCCCTTGTCTCCCAGCTGTGTGCGTCACTCTTTAGTGTCCTCTGGTCTCCAGCTGTGTGCGTCACTCTTTAGTGTCCCCTGGTCTCCCAGCTGTGTGCGTCACTCTTTAGTGTCCCCTGGTCTCCCAGCTGTGTGCGTCACTCTTTAGTGTCCCCTGGTCTCCCACCTGTGTGCCTCACTCTTTAGTGTCTCCTGGTCTCCCAGCTGTGTGCGTCACTCTTTAGTGTCCCCTGGTCTCCCAGCTGTGTGCGTCACTCTTTAGTGTCCCCTGGTCTCCCAGCTGTGTGCGTCACTCTTTAGTGTCCCCTGGTGTCCAGCTGTGTGCGTCACTCTTTAGTGTCCCCTGGTCTCCCAGCTGTGTGCGTCACTCTTTAGTGTCCCCTGGTCTCCCAGCTGTGTGCATCACTGTTTAGTGTCCCCTGGTCTCCCAGCTGTGTGCGTCACTCTTTAGTGTCCCCTGGTCTCCCAGCTGTGTGCGTCACTCTTTAGTGTCCCCTCGTCTCCCAGCTGTGTGCGTCACTCTTTAGTGTCCCCTGGACACAATGCTAAATGTGTTGTTGCCGCAGCACGTCCTCACAGCGACTCATCAGATTGCAGAATTTGGGAAAATGCAAATATCCCAAGATTTGTTTTTTCTCCGGCATATTTTAAAATCTTCAAACAGCAGCAGCTCATCGTTTATACATGCACACATTATGAATTGGAAATCTTGTTGTAAAGATGAAAGAGTGAATTTGACTCGACATCGAACAGTTTGAAGTAATCCCGTCAGCGTTTGAAGAAGCTTCAGATTCACGTTCCGACAGACGCCTCGAAGTCTCCTTTTGATGTGAGATTCATATTTACAGGCTAACTTTAGCTCACTTCTGATGCCTCTTCTCTGGTGTGTTTACACTGCGGAGGCTTTGTTCTTCACACAGGGGCGCTGGTTTTACGTTTCCTCTCTGATTTGTGCTGTGTTTTAAATATTGTGAAGCAATGTTCAAAGTGATGATGGCTTTCATTCTGGCACTTGGTCTTCATTATTTAAATATCTTCATATTGTTGTATTGTCAGTGGCGGTTGGCCAGGCTGGGGCCAGTTATTTTCTGAGGGGGGCACAATAAATGCAGGACCAAAAAGACAAAGACAGTATGAAGTAATTGCGCATACACCTAAGAAAACAATGCAATACAGTTATTGGTATTTGTTTCATTACGCATTATTATATGCTTACCTTTGTGTGCGGTTTGGGTCTGTGGGACCCGTTTTCAGTGTTTACTAAAAGAAAATGTATGCAATTTAATTATTTGAACCTGCTTTATTTGGGGGTGGTCCTAACCTTCTCCAGGGGGGTCCGGGGGCATGCTCCCCCGGGAAGATGTTTTTTTTAAATGTTGAAGTTAAAAGCATCAATCTGGTGCACTTTGAGCACAAAATGAATTTATGGACACAGCTCTCAACACTCAGATGAAAGGGAGCTGTGTACTTTTCAATAATCAAAACATCTTTAGAATATGATCACAACCAATAACAAATAATTGAAACTAGTTTATTCTTATCTTATGTTACCTAGTTAGCATTCTTTCTTTCTATTAATGCATATTTTACTAATAACTCCCCTTTTCAATTGTATTGTTTTTTACTGTCCAATACACATTGGAATGATTTCTTTATTTTTTACAGCACATTAAATAGATAAAGGCGTGCACTCTCTAGCTCTCTCTCTCTCTCTCTCTCTGTCTCGCTCGCTCACAGAGGCTGTGTGCTCCTCCGTGGCGATGACAGCTTGCGTTAAAAAAAGAAAACATATTTGTAAAGTGAGGGCTATTGAGGGCTTGCGAGATACCGGTAGCTCGTGATCGACGTGTTGGAGACCCCTGCTCTAATGGGGCCGACTAGAATGACAAATATCGTTACTTCCGCCTATTCCGTCAGCCAAGAAATAGTTTAATCATAAACTTGTTTTTTTTAGGGGGGCCACAGGGGGGTCCAACGTCAGTGTTAGGGGGGCCCTGGTCCCCCCTGCCCCCCCCTAGAACCGCCCCTGTGTATTGTGTGTATGATCTTTTTTCAGACTTCAAACTTCTATGTTTATATGAATATCTTCATATATCCATCTATTTTATTCTTATTTACTTTATTCTTAAATGGAGAAACTGTCACAAAACCCAATTTCCCCTGAGATGAATAAAACATTCTGACAGATTTTGTATCTTATCTTTTTCCTCCCCCCTCCACACCTTTACCTGTCCTGATTGACCTTTGACCCCCCCTCTCCTCTGTCTGCAGGTAATGACTTGTTCCTGGTGGCGGTGCACGAGTTGGGTCATGCGTTGGGTTTGGAGCACTCCAACGACCCCAGTGCCATCATGGCTCCGTTCTACCAGTACATGGACACGCACAACTTCAAGCTGCCTCTGGACGACCTGCAGGGCATCCAGAAGATCTACGGTGAGTAATCTGATTACTCATCCATCATGCAAAGGAGTTATTCCACAGCTGTGTTTTTTTAAAGTATTTTCAACTTTTTTTTAAATTGTATTCCTGTTACGTTTAATTTCTGGAATCTGTTCGGCTTTTGTTTGCTGTAACATTACACATTACATCACATGTCACTTGTTAGACACTTTTATCCAAAGCGACTTACATACTCAATACTATGGGCAATCCCCACAGGAGCAATTTGACTGCAGTGGGACTCGAACTTGCTGTCCCCTGATTCCAAGTTCAGCGCATTAAGTTCAGCGCACTATTCCACTGAGCCACAGCCTCCAACAAATGTACATTTCCCCTCTGTGGGACGAATAAAGGATTCTGATTCTGATGTGTTTTGTTCTCTAATGGTTGTTGAGATGGAGTTTCATTCTGGTGCAGCTTTAAAGGGGACCTATTATGCAAAATCCACTGTTGCATGTCTTCTACATCAACATGTGTCCCCTCTTCTTCATGTCTCTTCTACATCAACACGTGTCCCCTCTTCTTCATGTCTCTTCTTCATCAACACGTGTCCCCTCTTCTTCATGTCTCTTCTACATCAACACGTGTCCCTTCTTCTTCACGTCTCTTCTACATCAACACGTGTCCCCTCTTCTTCATGTCTCTTCTACATCAACATGTGTCCCCTCTTCTTCACGTCTCTTCTACATCAACACGTGTCCCCTCTTCTTCATGTCTCTTCTACATCAACATGTGTCCCCTCTTCTTCATGTCTCTTCTACATCAACACGTGTCCCCTCTTCTTCATGTCTCTTCTACATCAACACGTGTCCCCTCTTCTTCATGTCTCTTCTACATCAACACGTGTCCCCTCTTCTTCATGTCTCTTCTACATCAACACGTGTCCCCTCTCCTTCATGTCTCTTCTACATCAACACGTGTCCCCTCTTCTTCACGTCTCTTCTTCATCAACATGTGTCCCCTCTCCTTCATGTCTCTTCTACATCAACATGTGTCCCCTCTCCTTCATGTCTCTTCTACATCAACACGTGTCCCCTCTCCTTCATGTCTCTTCTACATCAACATGTGTCCCCTCTTCTTCATGTCTCTTCTTCATCAACATGTGTCCCCTCTTCTTCATGTCTCTTCTACATCAACATGTGTCCCCTCTTCTTCATGTCTCTTCTACATCAACATGTGTCCCCTCTTCTACATGTCTCTTGTACATCAACATGTGTCCCCTCTTCTTCATGTCTCTTCTTCATCAACATGTGTCCCCCCCTCTTCTTCATGTCTCTTCTACATCAACATGTGTCCCCCTCTTCTTCACGTCTCTTCTTCATCAACATGTGTCCCCCTCTTCTTCATGTCTCTTCTACATCAACATGTGTCCCCTCTTCTTCATGTCTCTTCTACATCAACATGTGTCCCCTCTTCTACATGTCTCTTGTACATCAACATGTGTCCCCTCTTCTTCATGTCTCTTCTTCATCAACACGTGTCCCCTCTCCTTCATGTCTCTTCTACATCAACATGTGTCCCCTCTTCTTCATGTCTCTTCTTCTTCATCAACATGTGTCCCCTCTTCTTCATGTCTCTTCTACATCAACATGTGTCCCCTCTTCTTCATGTCTCTTCTACATCAACATGTGTCCCCTCTTCTACATGTCTCTTGTACATCAACATGTGTCCCCTATTCTTCATGTCTCTTCTCCATCAACATGTGTCCCCTCTTCTTCATGTCTCTTCTTCATCAACATGTGTCCCCTCTTCTTCATGTCTCTTCTACATCAACATGTGTCCCCTCTTCTTCATGTCTCTTCTACATCAACATGTGTCCCCTCTTCTACATGTCTCTTGTACATCAACATGTGTCCCCTCTTCTTCATGTCTCTTCTACATCAACATGTGTCCCCTCTTCTACATGTCTCTTGTACATCAACATGTGTCCCTCTTCTTCATGTCTCTTCTACATCAACATGTGTCCCCTCTCCTTCATGTCTCTTCTACATCAACACGTGTCCCCTCTCCTTCATGTCTCTTCTACATCAACATGTGTCCCCTCTTCTTCATGTCTCTTCTACATCAACATGTGTCCCCTCTTCTTCATGTCTCTTCTACATCAACATGTGTCCCTCTTTCTTCATGTCTCTTCTTCATCAACATTGTGTCCCCTCTTCTTCATGTCTCTTCTTCATCAACATGTGTCCCCTCTTCTTCATGTCTCTTCTACATCAACATGTGTCCCCTCTTCTTCATGTCTCTTCTACATCAACATGTGTCCCCTCTTCTTCATGTCTCTTGTACATCAACATGTGTCCCCTATTCTTCATGTCTCTTCTCCATCAACATGTGTCCCCTCTTCTTCATGTCTCTTGTACATCAACACGTGTCCCCTCTTCTTCATGTCTCTTCTTCATCAACACGTGTCCCCTCTTCTTCATGTCTCTTCTACATCAACATGTGTCCCCTCTTCTTCATGTCTCTTCTACATCAACATGTGTCCCCTCTTCTCCATGTCTCTTCTACATCAACACGTGTCCCTTCTTCTTCACGTCTCTTCTACATCAACACGTGTCCCCTCTTCTTCACGTCTCTTCTACATCAACACGTGTCCCCTCTTCTTCATGTCTCTTCTACATCAACACGTGTCCCCTCTTCTTCATGTCTCTTCTACATCAACACGTGTCCCCTCTTCTTCATGTCTCTTCTACATCAACACGTGTCCCCTCTTCTTCATGTCTCTTCTACATCAACACGTGTCCCCTCTTCTTCATGTCTCTTCTACATCAATATGTGTCCCCTCTTCTTCATGTCTCTTCTTCATCAACATGTGTCCCCTCTCCTTCATGTCTCTTCTACATCAACACGTGTCCCCTCTTCTTCACGTCTCTTCTTCATCAACATGTGTCCCCTCTCCTTCATGTCTCTTCTACATCAACATGTGTCCCCTCTTCTTCATGTCTCTTCTAAATCAACATGTGTCCCCTCTTCTACATGTCTCTTGTACATCAACATGTGTCCCCTCTCCTTCATGTCTCTTCTACATCAACATGTGTCCCCTCTCCTTCATGTCTCTTCTACATCAACACTGTGTCCCCTCTCCTTCATGTCTCTTCTACATCAACATGTGTCCCCTCTTCTTCATGTCTCTTCTACATCAACATGTGTCCCCTCTTCTTCATGTCTCTTCTACATCAACACGTGTCCCCCCTCCTTCATTTCTCTTCTACATCAACATGTGTCCCCTCTTCTTCATGTCTCTTCTTTCTTCATCAACATGTGTCCCCTCTTCTTCATGTCTCTTCTACATCAACATGTGTCCCCTCTTCTTCATGTCTCTTGTACATCAACATGTGTCCCCTCTTCTTCATGTCTCTTCTTCTTCATCAACATGTGTCCCCTCTTCTTCATGTCTCTTCTACATCAACATGTGTCCCCTCTTCTTCATGTCTCTTCTACATCAACATGTGTCCCCTCTTCTTCATGTCTCTTCTCATCAACATGTGTCCCTCTTCTTCATGTCTCTTCTCCATCAACATGTGTCCCCTCTTCTTCATGTCTCTTCTACATCAACATGTGTCCCCCTCTTCTTCATGTCTCTTCTCCATCAACATGTGTCCCCTCTTCTTCATGTCTCTTCTCCATCAACATGTGTCCCCTCTTCTTCATGTCTCTTCTACATCAACACGTGTCCCCTCTTCTTCATGTCTCTTCTACATCAACATGTGTCCCCTATTCTTCATGTCTCTTCTACATCAACATGTGTCCCCTCTTCTTCATGTCTCTTCTACATCAACATGTGTCCCCTATTCTTCATGTCTCTTCTCCATCAACATGTGTCCCCTCTTCTTCATGTCTCTTCTACATCAACACGTGTCCCCTCTTCTTCATGTCTCTTCTACATCAACATGTGTCCCCTCTTCTTCATGTCTCTTCTACATCAACATGTGTCCCCTCTTCTTCATGTCTCTTGTACATCAACATGTGTCCCCTATTCTTCATGTCTCTTCTACATCAACATGTGTCCCCTATTCTTCATGTCTCTTCTACATCAACATGTGTCCCCTCTTCTTCATGATCTTCTACATCAACATGTGTCCCCTCTTCTTCATGTCTCTTCTCATCAACATGTGTCCCTCTTCTTTGTCTCTTCTACATCAACATGTGTCCCCTCTTCTACATGTCTCTTGTACATCAACATGTGTCCCCTTCTTCAGTCTCTTCTCATCAACATGTGTCCCCTTTTCATGTCTTCTCAGCAACATGTGTCCCCTCTTCTTCATGTCTCTTCTGCATAACATGTGTCCCCTCTTCTTCATGTATCTTCTACATCAACATGTGTCCCCTCTTCTTCATGTCTTCTTCTACATCAACATGTGTCCCCTCTCTTCATGTCTCTTCTACATCAACATGTGTCCCCCTCTTCTTCATGTCTCTTCTACATCAACATGTGTCCCCTCTTCTTCATGTCTCTTTCTACATCAACATGTGTCCCCTCTTCTTCATGTATCTTCTACATCAAACATGTGTCCCCTCTTCTTCATGTTCTCTTCTACATCAACATGTGTCCCCCTTCTTCTTCATGTCTCTTCTACATAACATGTGTCCCCTCTTCTTTCATGTCTCTTCTACATCAACATGTGTCCCCTCTTCTTCATGTCTCTTCTGCATCAACATGTGTCCCCTCTTCTTCATGTCTCTTCTACAATCAACATGTGTCCCCTCTTCTTCATGTCTCTTCTACATCAACATTGTCCCCTCTTCTTCATGTCTCTTCTCCGATCAACATGTGTCCCCTATTCTTCATGTCTCTTCTACATCAACATGTGTCCCCTCTTCTTCATGTCTCTTCTACATCAACATGTGTCCCCTCTTTCTTCATGTCTCTTCTAACATCAACATGTGTCCCCTCTTCTTCATGTCTCTCTTCTACATCAACATGTGTCCCCTCTTCTTCATGTCTCTTCTACATCAACATGTGTCCCCTCTTCTTCATGTCTCTTCTACATCAACATGTGTCCCCCTCTTCTTCATGTCTCGTCTTCATCACAGTGTCCCCTACATGTGTCCCCTCTTCTTCATGTCTCTTCTACATCAACATGTGTCCCCTCTTCTTCATGTCTCTTCTCATCAACATGTGTCCCCTCTTCTTCATGTCTCTTCTACATCAACATGTGTCCCCTCTTCTTCATGTCTCTTCTACATCAACATGTGTCCCCTCTTCTACATGTCTCTTGTACATCAACATGTGTCCCCTCTTCTTCATGTCTCTTCTTCATCAACATGTGTCCCCTCTTCTTCATGTCTCTTCTACATCAACATGTGTCCCCTCTTCTTCATGTCTCTTCTACATCAACATGTGTCCCCCTCTTCTTCATGTCTCTTCTACATCAACATGTGTCCCCTCTTCTTCATGTCTCTTCTACATCACATGTGTCCCTCTTCTTCATGTCTCATTGTACATCAACATGTGTCCCCTATTCTTCATGTCTCTTCTCAATCAACATGTGTCCCCTATTCTTCATGTCTCTTCTTCATCAACATGTGTCCCTCTTCTTCATGTCTCTTCTACATCAACATGTGTCCCCTCTGTCTCATGTCTCTTCTACATCAACAGTGTCCCCTCTTCTTCATGTCTCTTCTACATCAACATGTTTCCCCTCTTCTTCATGTCTCTTCTACATCAACAGGTGTCCCCTCTTCTCATGTCCTCTTCTCTCTCAACATGTGTCACTCTTCTCCATGTCCTCTTCTACATCAACATGTGGTCCCCCTCTTCTTCATGTCTCTTGTACAATCAACAGTGTCCCCTCTTCTTCCATGTCCTCTTCTACATCAACATGTGTCCCCTTCTTTCCTTCATGTCTCTTCTACATCAACATGTGTCCCCTCTTCTTCAATGTCATCTTCTACATCAACTGTGTCCCCTCTTCTTCATGTCTTCTTCTACATCAACATGTGTCCCCTCTTCTTCATGTCTCTTCTACATCAACATGTGTCCCCTCTTCTTCATGTCTCTTCTTGTCTCTTCTACATCACACATGTGTCCCCTCTTCCTTCATGTCTCTTCTACATCAACATGGTGTCCCCTCTTCTTCATGTCTCTTCTACATCAAACCAAATTTGTCCCCTCTCTTCATTTACATCAACAGGTTCCCCTCTTCTTCATGTCTCTTCTACATCAACATGTGTCCCCTCTTCTTCATGTCTCTTCTACATCAACATGTGTCCCCTATTCTTCATGTCTCTTCTCCATCAACATGTGTCCCCTCTTCTTCATGTCTCTTCTACATCACATGTGTCCCCTCTTCTTCATGTCTCTTCTACATCAACATGTGTCCCTCTTCTTCATGTCTCTTCTACATCAACATGTGTCCCCTCTTGCTTCATGTCTCTACATCACCATGTGTTCCCCTCCTTCTTCATGTCTCTTCACATCAACATGTGTCCCCTCTCTTCATGTCTCTTCTACATCAACATGTGTCCCCTCTCTTCATGTCTCTTCTACATCAACATGTGTCCCCTCTCTTCATGTCTCTTCTACAATCAACATGTGTCCCCTATTCTTCATGTCTCTTCTCCATCAACATGTGTCCCCCTCTTCTTCATGTCTCTTCTACATCAACATGTGTCCCCTCTTCTTCATGTCTCTTCTACATCAACATGTGTCCCCTCTTCTTCATGTCTCTTCTACATCAACATGTGTCCCCCTCTTCTTCATGTCTCTTCTTCATCAACATGTGTCCCCTCTTCTCCATGTCTCTTCTACATCAACATGTGTCCCCTCTTCTTCATGTCTCTTCTACATCAACATGTGTCCCCTCTTCTTCATGTCTCTTCTTCATCAACATGTGTCCCCTCTTCTCCATGTCTCTTCTACATCAACATGTGTCCCCTCTTCTCCATGTCTCTTCTTCATCAACATGTGTCCCCTCTTCTCCATGTCTCTTCTTCATCAACATGTGTCCCCTCTTCTTCATGTCTCTTCTTCATCAACATGTGTCCCCTCTTCTTCATGTCTCTTCTACATCAACATGTGTCCCCTCTTCTTCATGTCTCTTCTACATCAACATGTGTCCCCTCTTCTTCATGTCTCTTCTACATCAACATGTGTCCCCTCTTCTTCATGTCTCTTCTTCATCAACATGTGTCCCCTCTTCTTCATGTCTCTTCTTCATCAACATGTGTCCCCCTCTTCTTCATGTCTCTTCTACATCAACATGTGTCCCCTCTTCTTCATGTCTCTTCTACATCAACATGTGTCCCCTCTTCTTCATGTCTCTTCTACATCAACATGTGTCCCCTCTTCTTCATGTCTCTTCTTCATCAACATGTGTCCCCTCTTCTTCATGTCTCTTCTACATCAACATGTGTCCCCTCTTCTTCATGTCTCTTCTACATCAACATGTGTCCCCTCTTCTTCATGTCTCTTCTACATCAACATGTGTCCCCTCTTCTTCATGTCTCTCCTACATCAACATGTGTCCCCTCTTCTCCATGTCTCTCTACATCAACATGTGTCCCCTCTTCTTCATGTCTCTTCTACATCAACATGTGTCCCCTCTTCTTCATGTCTCTTCTACATCAACATGTGTCCCCCTCTTCTTCATGTCTCTTCTACATCAACATGTGTCCCCTCTTCTTCATGTCTCTTCTACATCAACATGTGTCCCCTCTTCTTCATGTCTCTTCTTCATCAACATGTGTCCCCTCTTCTTCATGTCTCTTCTTCATCAACATGTGTCCCCTCTTCTTCATGTCTCTTCTACATCAACATGTGTCCCCTCTTCTTCATGTCTCTTCTACATCAACATGTGTTCCCTCTTCTTCATGTCTCTTCTACATCAACATGTGTCCCCTCTGTGGAAAGAGACTCTGAAAGTTTCAGGAACAAAGATTCTCTCTCTTTTTGATCCATTTCTATAAAAACCTGTCTGAAAATGAGCTGATCAGATTTTGGCCACTTTATGATGTCATAACGATGTGTTGTCTTGTGTAACCATTAGCCAATCAGCAACCAAGGTAACCCCCCCCCCCCCCCCCCTTATCACCTGAATCTCCTCCTAGAGCTCCATTGAGTTCTTTGTAACCAAATGTCTCTCAGAGGGGCGTGGGGAGGGGCTCCTTGTTTTCATCTAAAGTAACAGACAGAGAATCAGCACTTTGGAAACAGGGCTGAAACAGAGGGGATTATGGGTAATGCTGCAATGATCTGTTTGGTGTTTCAGCCAATCAGAGACAGGCTCTGTGTATATCTGAGACCTGAGTTCCTGATGTTCTCCACCAGGTATCCCCACAGCCATGCTGGAGCCCACCCGCCCGCTGCCCACTCTGCCTTCCCGACGGACGCACTCCACCTCCAAACACGACCGCTCCCGCCCGGCGCGTCCGTCCGGCGACCGGCCCGCGCTGCCCGGCAATGGGAAACCCAACATCTGCGACGGAAACTTCAACACCGTGGCCTTCTTCAGGAGGGAGATGTTCGTGTTCAAGGTGAGCCGAGACATTTTGTTTCATTACATTTGTATTTGTTCCGTTCATGGTATGCAGAACTTAATGTATAACAATTAGGTAACACTTTATATTAAGGTACACAAATTAACCATCAACTAGTTGTTAATTAACATGCTTATTAGCAGAATATTGGCTCTTTATTAGTCAGTATTAAACCCTTATTATATTTATTCTACATGACCATATTCTACAAGTAATAAGCCATTAGTTGAGAGTTTTTCCTCAATAACCCTCTAAGTAAGGAAGTTGTTGTACATGAGTTTAGGTCTTAATATGCTCTGCTCAATATGGGCCTAATAAGGCAGCAGTACCACAAGAATAGTTATTCTCCCATAATAGCACTTAACAAATATGATCTATTCTTATGTAACAAGACATGAAACTAAAAGTGTTAATTGTGTCAAAATAACTCAAAATCTGGTATTTCTAACTCAGAATTCCCAATTTTAAAGTGAAGTCTTGTTCATAACAAATAAGCTGGTAGTTTGACTCTAACATGTTAATTAACAACTAGTTGATGGTGAATACGTTTACCTTAATATAAAGTGTTACCAACAATTATTTACAAAACATGTCTCTTTAACCATTAAACCCCACGGACGCAACATCTTGCAAGTAACAGCGTCTGAGGGCTTCTTAACATTTAACAAACTATGAATGTGTCAGACCCACTGAACGGGAAGAAACTCAGCTTTCAGACAATATTAACCATTTTTAGCAAAACGAAACACAAGGGTGATAACAAAGGCTCTGAATTAGCCCTTAGCGAAGAAATGCTAACGCACTTTGCACAGAACTCACGATAAAATACCCTTATTACTTATCGGATCTGCACAAAGAAGATATCGATTAGCAAGCTGAGGTTCCACAGATTCCAGAGGTATAAGTGTCATCACTGAGCGATCAGAACTCCTGCTGCGTTTCATTTCTTAAAATCTGTTTGGCTTTTGTTTATATCCTCATCACTGACAGTAATATTAAAGAGAACATGCATGTTTGTGTTATCTGAAGGTGCATCTCACCTTCGTGTGGCCAGAAGGAGAATTACAACCAACACAAAAAAAGAATTAACCTCAAAAGGTTTTTTATCCTCAAATAAGCACTGAACAATGCTGATGGTCATCCTAGCAATCCTACCTCTTCTCATTGGTTCTTGAGTATAAAATAAACTTCTGTAGCTTCCTTAAAGACTTGATTCAAAGAGTTTAAATCACAAATACTGAATGCACAACTCTAAAGCAAACCTCTCCGAATCCAGGGTGCATGCTTCTGCTAAAGGTGCATTTTTGAGAGACACACACACACACACACACACACACACACACACACACACACGCTGTGGATCGGTTGTGTAATAACTGCTGCTGCAGAGGATGAGTCATGCGGCCGTGAGTTGCTCTATAAAACAGGGCGACTCTGGGGGATTTAGATAAGCTTAATTGAACATTAAGAGGTGCGGCCGCTCTGCCGCTCCGGAGCGTTCCAGTTCGATTCCCTCTGGAACTGCCCGTGTTAAGAAAAATGTCTCTCAAAGTACTGCGGATAATCTAATCAGCTCAGTGGCGTGTGGTGGTGTCAGCGATGCACTCCCAGTATAGAGTGGTGCAGGGACGAGTCCTAAAACCCAGACATGAGCTTAGAGCTTCTCTGTCCTCTTTAAGGTGATCATTGTCAACTTACTTATAGTTTCCTTTTGCAAGATATATAACTGACTGCTAAACGCCTGAACTCTGTGAAGTGCCCCCATACACATTCATCTGGCTGTCATCTTGCAATCTACTTATTGATATAAATAGTTATCACCGCAATAAACCATATTTTATTTGGTCTTAATGTTATTATTTCATTTCATATTCTGTTCTTGTACATATCGTGTTTTTTTACATGTATATAGACTCCTTGCACTATTTTTTGTTTTTGTATTTTATTATATATGTTGCATTGTTGGAGGTCAATCAATCAATCAATCAAAAACTGTATTAATCCTGCAAGGGGCAATTGGAGGTCAGGTCAGAAGAATGTCTACACTGTAGCTTATGTGCATACGACAATAAACCCTTTGAACCTTTGAATCTGACTACAGACACTTCCTCTGTTGCATGGATTATTTTGTTAAATTAAGTTAAATGAAAAGTACACTCCGGTTTGAATCCCTCTTTAATGATTGCAGCTGCATTAACAGTATCTAAAGGATCTTTACAGCAGAGACTGTGGGAGCAGCTGCTACAGAAGTGAACCTACACTCAGAGATATTTTAGGCTCTAGTGTAAAACTGCTTATGCATTATGAATCAGCTCTTTTAAACTGGGTCACTAACCTGTGTGTGTGTGTGTGTGTGTGTGTGTGTGTGTGTGTGTGTGTGTGTGTGTGTGTGTGTGTGTGTGTGTGTGTGTGTGTGTGTGTGTGTGTGTGTGTGTGTGTGTGTGTGTGTGTGTGTGTGTGTGTGTGTGTGTGTGTGTGTGTGTGTGTGTGTGTGTGTGTGTGTGTGTGTGTGTGTGTGGTAACCCAACTTCACTATGAGAGCAGGAAAGATCTATTTTATCTCCCTTTAATGATTAAATGTATCCAGAAATGATGCCTTACTGTTGGAGAAACAGAAGTGTTCAGTGCCTCTGAGCATGTGAAGATGAGCATGTGTGGTGAGAGCAGCAAGTAGATGCAACAAACGGAAAAAAAGCATTCAAACCTTGATTTATAATTCAAGGTACAACGCTAATAGAGAAGAGACAGACAGAGAAACACACGCACACACACACACACACACACACACACACACACACACACCGACGCACAGATAGATTGTGACCTTTTCTAACATTCACTTTAAAGATCAGAGACATCAAAATTGATTTGTCTACCTCTGCTATGCTGCTCCCCTCTCTCTCTCTCTCTCTCACACACACACACACACGCACACACACACACACACACACACACACACACACACACACACACACACACACACACACACACACACACACACACACACACACACAGACAGTCCATAATAATAAGGTTGCATTAATCAGTAACTTGTTGCAGTGATGTAGTATTTTTGGAGAGGACCCTGAATGCAGCATCTCTCTGGTCCAATTGGATTACTCCATGTGGTTTTGGAGAAAACAAAACGTTGAAATCTTCACGACCTTTTTTCAAGCTAACAACCAGAAACCCCCCCATTCACCTCCAGGCCGGGGGAACAGGAATTGTTCAAATCGGAGTCTTTCCGGGGACTGCGGACTCATTCCTGCACCTCTCCTTACAAGCATTCTTAAAAGAGAACAGCTTGAACCAACGATATGAAAAAGGGGCTTGAACCTCATGTTGTCTTGTTTTCCCAAAGTGGACAAAAACACCAGGTATTACAGGTTCAAGCGTCCGTATGTCGTGAGTTAGAAATAAAACAAAATGTTCTCAGAGGTGGAGGAAGTGGTGCTGCATCATCACTGAGGGGGCTTAAGTCCCTGAAGGAAACCAAAGGACTTACTACATCTCAAAAAACACATCAGCATCGATCTGGAAAACTGGGGGGATTTTCTTTTTCCTTAAAATCTGTGACCAGAAGCGAATCAGGACACGGAGAGCAGAGCCGCTCATTATGGGATGTCTCCTCGGTGAGAAACACTCATGGTTTCTTTTGCTCCAAATAAGAAGCATTGATTTTTCTTTCTCTCTCTGTGCTCACGCAGAAAAAAGCATTAGCAGCCAGGGCATGTCGGATGATCTGAGAGGGGGGGGGGGGTGTGTGTGTGTGTGTGTGTGTGTGTGTGTGTGTGTGTGTGTGTGTGTGTGTGTGTGTGATAATCAGCTGAGATTGATGCTCTTCTCCTCCTCCTTTCCTTTTGACATCCACACCTTAGTTTGATATTCATCGTTATTTACATCCAATCAGCAACATGTCTTTTGAAGCCATGTGCAATCTTTTCTTAAACATGCTGTATGCTCAATTTCATAATTTGGGATCATTAAAGAATATGTAGTGTGGGAGAGGAACACATTTGAGCCCCTGCAGACCATTTACATGCACTAACACCTATAGGTGAGGGAACACCCCAAAAAGCAGAATAGGGCCTCTTTAGGAGAAATAAGAGTTGCTGTTTTCGGGGAGTTTGTTCCAAAGATCAGAATCAGAATGGAAGTTTATTGCCAGGTACATTTACACATACAAGGAACTTGCTTTGGTGTCTGATGGTGCGAACATAAACAATCTAAAAAAACGAGTTGCAAAGTGGTTAAAAAAAGAAATATATACGGATAATACAAAATAAGTATTTAAATTCAGCATTAGAAAAGGAAGCCAAAGACAAGTATTTACACCAGATTCAAATGTAACTATAGAAATAGCCGTAACAACTAAAAACACTATGTGTATACGGCAAACTACAGTGTATTATATATATATATATTTTTTTTTTTTTTTTGTACAATATATATATATATATATATATATATATATATATATATTGTACATGGAGCCTAAAGTGTAATTATGTTTGGTTCAGTCGTCTCTAATGAAATGTAATTCCTCGCCGTGTTGCAGGACCGCTGGTTCTGGCGCCTGCGGAACAACAAGGTGCAGGAGGGCTACCCGATGCAGATCGATCAGTTCTGGAAGGGCCTGCCGCCTCGCATCGACGCCGCCTACGAGAGATCAGACGGGAAGTTCGTCTTCTTCAAAGGTACGAGGGAAAACACTCAGACCGGCACAAACACATTCAACAGTTAGCCGATACTCACTGGATTTAGACCTGGAAAATCTGGTGTCTTCCTGTTTCGCCCCTTCCCAATTCGCCCCATTGCCACTTCACCCCTTTCCCAATTCGCCCCTTTCCCAATTCGCCCCTTCCCAATTCGCCCCTTCCCAATTCGCCCCTTTCCAATTCGCCCCATTCCCAATTTGCCCCTTCCCAATTCGCCCCTTCACAATTCGCCCCATTGCCACTTCGCCCCTTTTCCATTTCCCCCCTTTCCCAATTCGCCCCTTCCCAATTCGCCCCATTGCCACTTCGCCCCTTTTCCAATTCTCCCCATTGCCACTTCGCCCCTTTTCCAATTCGCCCCATTGCCACTTCGCCCCTTTTCCATTTCGCCCCTTTTCCAATTCGCCCCTTTCCCAATTCGCCCCTTTTCCAATTCGCCCCTTTCCCAATTCGCCCCTTTTCCAATTCGCCCCTTTCCTGTTTCGCCCCTTCCCATTTCGCCCCTTTCCCAATTTGCCCCTTCCCAATTCGCCCCATTGCCACTTCGCCCCTTTTCCAATTCGCCCCATTGCCACTTCGCCCCTTTTCCAATTCGCCCCATTGCCACTTCGCCCCTTTTCCAATTCGCCCCCTTTCCAATTCGCCCCATTGCCACTTCGCCCCATTCCCAATTCGCCCCTTTCCCAATTCGCCCCTTCCCAATTCGCCCCATTGCCACTTCGCCCCTTTTCCAATTTGCCCCATTCCCAATTCGCCCCTTCCCAATTCGCCCCGTTCCCAATTCGCCCCTTTCCCAATTCGCCTCTTCCCAATTCGCCCCATTGCCACTTCACCCCTTTTCCATTTCGCCCCTTTCCCAATTTGCCCCTTCCCAATTCGCCCCATTGCCACTTCGCCCCTTTTCCAATTCGCCCCATTGCCACTTCGCCCCTTTTCCATTTCGCCCCTTTCCCAATTTGCCCCTTCCCAATTCGCCCCATTGCCAATTCGCCCCTTTTCCATTTCGCCCCTTTTCCAATTCGCCCCTTTCCCAATTCGCCCCTTTTCCAATTCGCCCCTTCCCAATTCGCCCCTTTTCCAATTCGCCCCTTTCCCGTTTCGCCCCTTCCCAATTCGCCCCTTTCCCATTTCGCCCCTTTCCCGTTTCGCCCCTTTTTTTACATTTGGCTACATAATAGATGATACTTGTTTTGCATGGTCGTGGGTCTTAGGGTTATGGTTATGGTTATGGTTAGAGTTTATAGATCTAATGATGCATCCCATGAAGCATTGCAGTCTGTTGACGAATCAGAGGCTGTTGTTGGGGCTGCATGGGACGGGGCGAAACGGGAATAAACTGGAAAATCTAGCAAAGATTTACTCTCAACTTTTTTGTTTCAATTTCTGCATGTGCACACCGCCCGTTATTCTCGTTTTCGGTTAACTCGAATTGGCAAGTGTTTAAAGCTCTCCTATCATGCAAATTGCACTTTTTGATATCTGTTATACATATGTGTGTGTCCGGTGTGTGTCCGGTGTGTGTCCGGTGTGTGTCCGGTGTGTGTCCCGTGTGTCCCCGGTGTGTCCCGGTGTGTCTCCGGTGTGTCCCCGGTGTGTCCCCGGTGTATCCCCGGTGTGTCCCCGTGTGTCCCCGTGTGTCCCTGTGTGTCCCCGGTGTGTCCCGGTGTGTCCCCGGTGTGTCCCGGTGTGTCTCCGGTGTGTCCCCGGTGTGTCCCCGGTGTATCCCCGGTGTGTCCCCGTGTGTCCCCGTGTGTGTCCCCGTGTGTCCCGGTGTGTCCCCGGTGTGTCCCTGTGTGTCCCCGGTGTGTCCCGGTGTGTCCCCGGTGTGTCCCCGGTGTATCCCTGTGTGTCCCCGGTGTGTCCCGGTGTGTCCCGGTGTGTCCCCGGTGTGTCCCTGTGTGTCCCCGGTGTGTCCCCGTGTGTCCCGGTGTGTCCCCGGTGTGTCCCGGTGTGTCCCTGTGTGTCCCCGGTGTGTCCCGGTGTGTCCCGGTGTGTCCCGGTGTGTCCCCGGTGTGTCCCGGTGTGTCCCCGGTGTGTCCCGGTGTGTCCCTGTGTGTCCCCGGTGTGTCAGGAGACTCACAAAGTGTCAGGAAATAAACCCTCTCTCTTTTCCTCCGTACCCACATCTCTAAAAACGGGAAACAACGGAGCTGATCCAGATTTGCTGCGTTCGATATGACGTAATATCTGAAATGTTGGCGGGCTTTCGACCCACGGGCCAATCAGAAACTGTTTTTTGAGCAAAACACTTCATAGACATGTTTTTCATATATTTGTATATATGTGAGACCTTTAATATATGCCTAAAAATATCCCCGGGCGGCGTTCATAATGAGCCCACTGCTCCTAACAGGATGGGTTAAATGCAGAGAAACTATTTTGTTACATAGTAAGTAGGCCTACTGTGTAATGACAATCAAAGTATAAAATAAATAGTAATAGGAGACCTTTAACTTTTAATTCAGGATCAACTGGCATGCATTTTTAATTAAGAGGATGATTGGATTCATTATTATAAGAACTCAGGTACCAACCTGTCTGCAGATGTAGGAACACTTAATGATTCTTTCTCAAGAACACATTTGATGATATAAACGCTGCACTTTGTTTAATCCCTCCAGACGTTTAATTTGACTCCAGTTTAGCATTTGTATCTCTAACTAGTTATCAAGATATGCAGTTTATATTGTCGGCTCCTGCAAACTGAGATTAAAGTCTGAATTTTAAGAAAAAAAGTCAGACTTTTGAGAAAAAAATTCAAAATTCAGAGATTTTCTGATAAAATTCAGACGTTCCTTTCCTTCATATCTCTGGCCCTGTTCCTCTGCCATACGTGTTTTATTTGTAGGTTTGTATCGTGTGGCGGTTTCCTTTCTTTCACAAATACAAACAAATACGTTCGGCTGAGTTTTTCTCGCGGAGTCACTCTGAAAATCAGCTCGAGAGTCTTCAGTAGAGAACGTTTTTTCGGAAACAAATAATAATAATAATAATTCCTTACATTTATTAAAGCGCTTTTCCAGATGCTCAAAGCGCTTTACAAATACACATTACACATATCATACATGCAATGGTCATCACCAAATCTCTGTCTGCCATCTGCTGCAGAGTAACGAGACCTGACCTGCTCTCCTGCAATATATTTAATAAAGGGTGAGATTCAGAAGGACGGTGCAGCGCGGGAAGTAAAAGAATCTCTGTGTCTGAAACCTCCCTCATCCCCCCACTGCTGACTGTGGACTCACTCTCTCTCTCTCTCTCTCTCTGACACACTCACACACACACACACACACACGCACACACACACACACACACACACACACACACACACACACACACACACACACACACACACACCGACATCTTCTGATGGAGTGTCCCGCTATCTCGGCCAGCCAGGAGCAGATATTAATAACTTTCGCTCTCTCAGCTGCAGACTCTCTTTCTCACACACACACTACACACACACACACACACACACACACACACACACACACACACACACACACACACACACACACACACACACACACACACACACACACACACACACACACACACACACACACACAGTGACACACAGAAGTGGTGATTCTTGCACACTTTTGGAAGCATGTGTACCGCACTACACACACATTAAACTGAGGATTTGTTGTTGTGTGTGTTTCGTGTTTGCAGGTTATTTTCTTCTCAATGTTCTCAGTGACTTAAGAAGAAAACACTCTCAGTAGTTTCTCCGGTTCACAGCGCTTCATTTTAAAACTATTCTTACCGTGTGAGAGATGTAGGAGATGGCGTGCACAAAATCTAAAATAACGAGAGGCTGTAGGCACGACAGCCGAGGTTGGGTTTGACCGAGAGTTCAGAATAACTCCTAAGGTAGGTTCACATACAGCCAAGGCTATGCATATATGTACTGAGGGCTCTTATAATGATAACACTGCTATTAGTGTTCCTCCTGTAATATATAGTTCATTTATTTAAGTGACTGCCTTGAGGAAAGTGTCTTTGTCTGTTCTTATTGTTCCCATATGTTGTTCTTTCAGGCTTTCCAAAGAGCTTTCTGTTTGGTCTGGCTCATTGAATTGCCTTGCATGAGAGCTTTTCTACATTAGCTCTATGATGTAACCTCCTGTTGTTAATCTCTCTTGATCTTTTCCCACATTTATCCTCTGAACAATCCCCACTGCTGATTGTGGACTCACTCTCTCTCTGCCTCACACACACACACACACACACACACACACACACACACACACACACACACACACAGACACACACACACACACACACACACACACACACACACACAGCACACACAGACACACACAGACACACACACACACAGACACACACACACACACAGACACACACACACACACACACACACACACACACACACACACACACACACACACACACACACACACACACACAGACATCTTCTGATGGAGTGTCCCGCTATCTCGGCCAGCCAGGAGCAGATATTAATAACTTTCGCTCTCTCAGCTGCAGATTCTCTTTCTCACACACATCCAGTTCCGGTTCAGGGTACATATGACTCTAAATGTTAGCGGTTAAAGGTCTTAAAATATGTGTTGTGATAACGTGCTGACCTCTGTCCCCCCTGCCCTGCAGGAGATAAGTTCTGGGTGTTCAAGGAGGTGACGGTGGAGCCCGGGTTCCCCCACAGCCTGGTGGAGCTGGGCAGCTGCCTCCCGAAGGACGGCATCGACACGGCGCTGCGCTGGGAGCCCGTCGGGAAAACATACTTCTTCAAAGGAGAGCAGTACTGGCGCTACAACGAGGAGAAGAACACGGCGGACCCCGGGTACCCCAAGCCCATCACCGTGTGGAAGGGGGTCCCCGACGCACCGCAGGGGGCCTTCATCAGCCGCGAGGGATGTGAGTATCTATAGTGATACAAATGATAATAATACATTACATTTTTACCAAGTCAAATTCCTCGTACGTGTCAACCTACCTGGTAATAAACCTGATTCTGATTCTGACCTTCCAATGGTTCAATTACATAGTGCAAGAGACATAATGGTGCAAGAAAAATGCATGAATGAAGAAAATATAAACATCAACAAATTGTTTATCCCTGTGAGGCCCCAGACTCTCACTGTCTGCAGGAGAAACACACACATCATCACTTCCACTTGTCAAGGCCTGACCTTGTGACCTTGTGGCGGCCTCAGAGGGTGTGAATGTGTATTTGTGTGTGTGTGTGTGTGTGTGTGTGTGTGTGTGTGTGTGTGTGTGTGTGTGTGTGTGTGTGTGTGTGTGTGTGTGTGTGTGTGTGTGTGTGTGTGTGTGTGTGTGTGTGTGTGTGTGTGTGTGTGTGTGTGTGTGTGTGTGTGTGTGTGTGTGTGTGTGTGTTCAGAGGTGGTGACATGGTCAGTGGGGCATGTTGTCTCAGTGTTAGATGAGAAGCTGTCCTGCAGGGACTTCAGAGGCAACAGGCAAGTGTGTGTGCCTGCGTGTGTGTGCGTGCCCTTGGATCATTGTTGTTGTTCTGTATTACATATAGAGTAAATGTAGTTTTTAATAACCTTAAAGCTGTTATTGGGGCAAAAGTTACAAATCTACACATCTGAAATATAATTATCATTTTTATTTAAATGAAATATAAATGTAATTGAATAAAAGGAAACAAGAAATCCTGTTTTACAGATAGTCTTTGTTGTTTGTGTGGTTGGTGCCTGATGTTAGCTTACACCAGTGGTTCTCAAACTTTTTCTGTCAGGCCCCCCCTTTGGAGAAAAAAAAAAGTCGGGCCCCCCCAACACAAATAGTCAGGCTCAGTGGCGGCGCCAGAGATTTATTTTGGGGGTGCTGTGGGGTAGCTTGACGTTTCATAGAGGGTGCTCAAACATTTAGGGTTTCCCATTAATGTCCCGGGCGCTACAGAGGAATGTTCTACCTAGGGCTGTGCAATTAATCGTATTTTAATCGCGATTACGATTATGGCTTGCGACGATTATGAAAACAGCATAATTGACAAAATACGATTATTTTGCTGGGTGCGCTTTCGCCCCTCCCTAAAAGCCCACTCGGCCACGTGGGAGTGACATGTGTTGTGAGTGTTCAGCGCGAGCGAAGATGTCAGAACAAGAGCAGCAACTCGTTAAAAAGAAGGGTACAACTATTTCCACTATTTGCAAGTACTTTGCCATTTACATTTCACATCGCTAAAGATATGTGCCCAGTTAGCACTGTTAGCAACCAGGGCTTTAAGCAACTTGTGAACACGTTGGACAAGCGTTACGCGATGCCGTCTCGGTATTATTTCAGCAGGTCTGCGCTGCCTGCGCTATGTGACAAATGCCGTGGGGAAGTTGAGAGAGATGTGGCTTCAGCTGACTACTTTGCTACCACAACAGACCTATGGTCTAGCCCAGGGGTGCCCAACCAGTCGATCGCGAGATGTGTCTAAAAATAGAACAACAATATTCTGTTTTATCGTTAATGTCCTGTAACATAATCTTCCTGTGCCAGAATAATGCACTTGAACGCATCAAAGCTTTGTGATTGGCCGGCGTCACCCCATGTGTCGGGGCGTGGCTGAGGGTCTTCAGTACAGGTGGCAATATTGTCCCCTGCCTGCACTCATCTCTGAAACCAGACCATGTAAACAGGCTGATGTTTCTTGCAAAAAATCTTTAAGAGATGACATGAGCAGTCCTACCAGCATTTACCATGGTGGCCAACACATTTTTATTTGGTCTTAAATTGTAGTTCAACATTTATTTCCTGTTACTTCTGGACCATGACGGTTGGCCAGCCTTCAACGTTTAACTGAGTGGAATATGTTGAATATGTTTTACCAACATGTTGGCTATATGTTAAGGAGTGTTCAGTAGGTTGTGACAGTGCACTGCATCATATTTGATTTAATTTATTTTGGTCTAATTTATTTTTATTTATCATATTAATAATATATGTTTTGGAAGTGCGCTCCAACATATTTGTTGATCTTGTTTATTGGTAAAATATTATTTGTTTTTAAAGTTCAATAAATGGTCAATGAATAATCGTCAAAATAATCGTGATATCAATTATTGACCCAAATAATCGTGATTATGATTTTTGCCATAATCGCACAGCCCTAGTTCTACTGCAACACTCCCCACGCAGATACACAGTGTGACAGTTACAATGAAGGCTCGATAATCAGCTCACGGCATATAGGTGTAAGCAGGGGTCAAGTGCTATTGGTATAGGTGGTGTGTGGACCTCACATAGGGGGGTCCGGGGGCATGCTCCCCCGGGAAGATTTATAAATATTGAAGTTAAAAGCATCAATATGGTGCACTTTGAGAGCAACATGAAGAGATCTATGGATACATCTCTCAACACCCAGATGAAACAGAACTGTTAACAGATTTACTATTTCTTTATGGATATTTTACAAATCACTCCCTTTTAAACTTTATTCTTTTTTCAATGTCATATAGTATTTCATACCTGTTTTTAATTTATTCTCTCTCTCTCTCTCTCGCTCGCGCACACAAAATGGCTCGTTCCACACACACACAGAGCCGAGCTTTAATGAAATGCAGAGACCCAGACGTAATAGTACTGTATCATATTATTTTCGAATCAATCATTTTTCAAAATATGATTTTTTCTTTTTTATCTTTTTTTTTTTTAATAACCATTTTTCCTCCTGGTCTCTCGTTCCCCCCTGTCATGCCTCTGCGCCCCCCACTTTGAGAACCACTGGTTTACACTAATATGCACTTGTGTTGAGTGTATGTTTGGTGAGTGTGTGTTTGGTGAGAGTGTGTGTTTGGTGAGAGTGAGTGTGTGTTTGGTGAGAGTGTGTGTGTGTTTTAGTGAGTGTGTGTGTTTGGTGAGGCTGTGTATGTATTTGGTGTGACTGTGTGCTTAGTGAGAGTATGTGTTTGGTGAGAGTGTATGTTTGGTGAGAGTGTGTGTTTGGTGAGAGTGTGTGTTTGGTGAGAGTGTGTGTTTGGTGAGAGTGTGTGTTTGGTGAGACTGTGTGTCTGGTGAGGCTGAATCACTTCAGGTTTCCTCCCCCTCTATATCTCCCCCTCTGCATCTCCCCCTCTATGTCTCCCCCTCTATATCTCCCCCTCTGCATCTCCCCCTCTATGTCTCCCCCTCTATATCTCCCCCTCTGCATCTCCCCCTCTATATCTCCCCCTCTATATCTCCCCCTCTGCATCTCCCCCTCTATATCTCCCCCTCACATCCCATTCTTCACTCAGCGGCAGCGTCTGTCTCGCAGGCATTACATGATATTGCCCTTCAATAAGAACGACCACTGAAAGACTGTAGCTGCCTATAACCAACGTGTCACAACAGAAATGTGATTTCCTCTAATGAGATCCTGCGTCACGGGGATGAACCGGAGCTGAGCGAGGCGGCTGAGGACGCAGACGGATGATTTCCAGTTAGAGAGGGGCCTTTTCTTAAAGAGAGAACTGATTGAGTGTGTGTCTCCTGAGAGTGAGCTCTTGAGGAAATATTGAGTGATCATAGTCATGTGGAATTTGGCCAGGGTGGCTTGAAATTAGATTGACATTTGGTTCCATGGATACAATTCAACTGTATTTAATTAACAGTTGTGATGTTGATATTTTTTTAATTCAGTACATTTTGAGGAAATCCCATCCATCTCCTATTTTGGGGACTCAGCTCCCAAACTGCAGATGTTGGTAGATTTAATTGTGGTTCTGGGTTGGGACCCCCTTTTACGGAGGGAGTGTGATGGCTCTCCAATGGCAGTAGGGCCTATTTTTTTCTTATTCAGTAAATGTTGAGTAAATCCCATCTTTCTCCTATTTTGGAAGTTCGTCCGGGATTTGAACCCGGGACCTATTACCCACGTAAACTTCAGATGTTGCTAGATGTGATTGTTTATCTGGGTTTGGAACCCCTTTTTACGGAGGGAGTGTGATGGCACTTTTGTTTTGAAATTCTGTAAAAGTTGAGGAAATCCCATCTATCTCCTATTTTGGGGGCTCGTCCGGGATTTGAAACCGGGACCTATCACCACCTAAACGTCAGATGTCGCTAGATTTCATTGTGGTTCTGGGACCCCCTTTTTACGGAGGGTGTGTGATGGCACTCCCATTTCAGCAGGGCCTATCTTATTTAAATTCGGTACATTTTGAGGAAATCCCATCCATCTCCTATTTTGGGGACTTGTTAGGGATTTGAACCCGGGACCTATCAGCTCCCAAACTGCAGATGTTGGTAGATTTCATTGTGGTTCTGGGTTGGGACCCCCTTTTACGGAGGGAGTGTGATGGCTCTCCCATGTCAGTAGGGCCTATTTTTTTCTTATTCAGTAAATGTTGAGTAAATCCCATCTTTCTCCTATTTTGGAAGTTCGTCCGGGATTTGAACCCGGGACCTATTACCACCTAAACGTCAGATGTCGCTAGATTTTATTGTGGTTCTGGGACCCCCTTTTTAAGGAGGGTGTGTGATGGCACTGTTACATGTTGAGAATAATCCACACTCTCCCATTCTTTGCTATCACAAACTGGGCGTTCGGCCGTGATTTGAACCCTGCACCTATAACCAAGTAAACATCAGACTAATCCCTAATTTGAATGTGGTTCTTGGATTGGGACCCCTTTTTAATGCAGGGAGTGTCAGAGGTACAGTGTTGAAAGGGGAAGATACATTTCCTGAAATGTTCCACTGGCTCGGGAGTCGAACTCTAAAACCTGAGCTGTCCAGCTGCCGGAAATTGGCACTTTCTTTTAAGCAGATCAGGTCTTTCTCCCATTCTTTGTCATTAACAATTGGGGGTTGGTCCGGGAATTGAACCCGGGACCTATCACCATCTAAACTTCAGATGTCACTAAATTTGATGTGATTCTGGGGTGTGACCCCCTTTTCTATAGAGGGGATGCGATGGCCCTCTGATGTTAGCAGGACCACCTTTTTTTTTATTTGGTAGATTTTGTTTACTTTGTCAATGTTCCTCGAGTCGTTGATGTGGACTACTGAAATCTGTAAAACAAAAAGTTGATAAAGTCATGTTTTCAAAACAAGTTTCCCCTTAAAATGATGATTAACGATGACGTTAAATAGATTTTAAATTAAGTTGGGTTCAGCTTGTTTCAGGTTGATGTATATATTTTTAATCTACTGTGTTATACTGTATGTTGCATGCTTTACAACTGCAACCCACTCATTTACCTTTTCTGATTCCTTGACTCCACCCACCTTTCTTTCTTCATACCTCCCTGCCCTCCTCATCCTCCCCTCTTCAGACTACACCTACTTCTACAAGGGGAAGGAGTACTGGAAGTTCGACAACCAGAAGCTGACGGTGGAGCCCGGATACCCGAAGTCCATCCTGCGAGACTGGATGGGCTGCGATCAGTCGGACATGGAGCGCTCTGGCAGCAAAGGGAACCGTGGAGACCGCCATCTGCCGCTAGACGACGTGGACATCATGGTGACCATCAACGACGTCCCGACGACGGTCAACGCCATCGCCGTCGTGATCCCGTGCATCCTGTCGCTGTGCATCCTGGTGCTGGTGTACACCATATTTCAGTTCAAAAACAAAGGAGTGCAGCAGAGCACCATTACGCAGCACTACTACAAATACCCTGTTCAGGAGTGGGTATGACAGGCAACACTGGTTTGAAGAGGTCATGGATTAAAGAAGACGGTTGGCTAGCTAATGTTGGCTTTAGGCCAGGATCGCTAGCAACAAAAACAATGGAAAGTCAACGCTGAAAGACGCTAATTGTGCTAGCTTGTGATGAACAGACGGACACTGAAAATGCGTGTAGGTTTAGACATTTGATCAGTCTTAGAGAGAAGTTCGTGCCTGTCTTGTGACACAAGTGTAAAGCGGCAAGTTGTCCGATTATGACTTTTTCCCGTTCCTCAGCGGGGAAGGATAGCAATGGCTAGGATAAGCGAGCGAAGTCCACAAAGACTCCTGGAGGATCTGATTGGATAAGGACAGGAAACACACCTCTCTTTAAGTGAAACGGGGTCTCATCAGCGACACTGAACTTTGACTTCTCGGACCTAAAACACAACTCTCCTTCTCAGTGGAAAAAAAAAAGAACGAGGATTCGGGGCGGAAAGAATACGCTCCTTAAAGCCACCTCCAAGTTTGTTCTAACAACAACTTGTACACGTGAACTACTTCAACTTAACGACAAGAAAATAAAGAATAAAATATCTAACTTGAAGAAAACATGTAGGTAGAAAGGCCATATTAAAAAAACAAAAAAAACAAGGATCTCTCTCTTGATCTTTTAATTTAATTTGTATTTATTTATAGTTGTATGGACCTGCAACATTGTCAAAGAGGACCTTCTTCTCTCTTCACTTTACACAGCAACACTTTGTCAGCATTAACTAAAGGATTTGTCAACTTTAAACTCCCCTGCTTTGATTTTCCCAGCATCGACTGAAGCATATTGATAGAAAAGATGAATGACATTTTAACAGCCTTATCTCTGTCTCCAAACATATGTGCGCATATTTAACAAGATGAACGCAAACCAGGGCTCGTATTTATCAAACTTATAAGTGAATTAATCACACAAAAAAATCCTTTTCATTTACTTCTAATAACAAACTTCAAAAATAAAAGTGTCAGATGTTTTTAGTGATTGTTCAAAAATACAATTGGCTATGATGATGATTTTAAACTACTTTTTATTATTCTGTGTGTGCATGGATTGGATATTAATGCATAAGGCAGGTGTACAAACAATAACAAAACTAATTGTATTTATTGTGTATCTTATATCTTTAACTTACTTTTTCAACCAGCAGGAGAATTTTGGAATTAGTTGTTTTTTTACCATTTAAGCCAATTTCCTAATAATTGATCTCTTTTTACACACTTCAAACATATTAAAATGCTTGTTTACAGATTGTTATATATTTTATTAATTGATACCTGTGATTTTGGACTTTTAAATTACACATTTTGCACTTACTATTAAAGCAATTTTCTAATAAATGAACAATATGAGATATGTAGGGTTACACCTTCAGTCTGATTGGCTCTACATACATGTAATTAAGCTTCCCTTATGTTACACTTTGCTACTTGATAAATGTCTCTCACACTTAAAATAACTTTTTTTAATGGGAGATTGAGTTTTAAGTGTATTCTTAGAGGTTTGGTAAATACGGGCCCTGACAGAGCTACGGTAGGTATTTTGATCCTCGTCGTTGTATTTCTCTCTGCTCCTCTACATGTGAGTGGATTAGAGATTTGCAAAAAGGAGGGGATAGAGAAGGGGGGGTGCACAGAGGATACATGTGGGTCTGAATTAGTATGCCGTCTGCAGCAAGGAGACGTCGACCGAGCTTAATGAAGTACTTCTGTTCCCAAGCTCTGACACGGGCCACTCGTCCTCCTCATCCTCCCTCCGTCTCTTCTCACCGTCCATCTGTCTTTCCCTCTATCTTTGTCCCATGATTTAACAAGTGCTTTAATTGTTTGTTGAAACTAAGGAGCTTGTAATTTGTCTCCAGTTTTCATCAAAAAGTGCCAAAATGTCTAGTCTTGGCTCTCGATACTTGACTTTTGCCTCTCAGAAGGATTTTATGACACTTTTTAAACACGCCTTGTTGTATTTCTGTACTTATGATCATTAGATATGTTTAAAGGGAGCAGGAATGTTTAAAAGGTGTTGGTGGTTTCTGTGAGCAAGGAATTTAATTTACAGGGATTTAAGTACTTCAATAGGGGAACATTTGGAGAAACTTTGTGAACTAAGACAATGTAATTCTGACATGGTGACATGGAGGCATGGTTACAATCCCAGTTACAAAAAGACTTAACTTAAGATTTGATAAAACAGATTGAATACTCTCATTTTATCACATTGAAAGTTGCCATGCTCAACTTTAATGAAAGGATTTATGGTGGTGAAGAGATGAGGTTTCTTTCTGTAAGGCAGACCAGAATTGAGCTAACCAAGGGTTCCCTCCACAAAAAAACAATGGGATTTTTGATCATTTCAGAAAATAGCGATGCATGCACAAAAAGGTACATTTTCTTTATAGCTACACGTCTTGTAGAACAGCAGCACTGCAGCTCTAACTTATTTTAATACACAAGCTGCTCATTTAAATGTTATTAACTCCATTGTGACTCATAACGGTTCATTTAGAGGCCAGTCGGATACCCAGAGGGATTCTGGAGTCCCCCGTCCACGACCCCCCCCCCCTCCCAGGCAGGAGATCACACACTGAGTCGCTGTCTTTGTGAGGAGATATTATTAACTAAACTATAAATATCCACATACTGATACTGCAGCAGCGCATCACTCCCAGTGGGGAAAGAAGTACGTTTTAGTTCAATAAAAGTAGCAATACTAAATTGTTAAAATACTCTGCTAGGAGTACAAAAACCTCCTTTCAAAACCTTACTCACTCACTCGTAGTGGAGTATAAAGTACAATATTAGCCTCCAAGCTGTAGTGGAGTAGAAGTATGAAAAGGCCCAAAATGAAAACACAAGTACCTCAGAATTGAAAAGTTAAATACTTGAGTAAATTTACTTCATTATGTTGTTTTTCCACATCACTCTCGAGGCTACTTTACATGTAATCGAGTACATAATGTCTCCAGCCCTGCATTACTCACAGAGCTCTCCGTCCTGCAGTAATTGAATGTGTTCCCTCCGTATATACCTGTGCAATGACTTGCTGCTGTCGAAAGCAATTCAGCACAAATCCATGTCGTTCAATGTCCCGACGGCGCTTAGAAGAAAAACATGTGTTCCTCGAGGGAGTAGAATAAACGCGGAATAAGACATGTGCTTCTTTTACCATTCAGCCTGTACACGTTCAGACAGGAGGGTCGTGGGAAACATGAATGTCTATCTTGAGAAAAACTGCCTGTTAGACCAATTTCTGTCGTTCGTTATACACATTTTAAACATATAGAAAGGAGTTATGATTCTCAAATTTGGGACGGTTTAGGTTTATTTCACTGTTTCAATGACTTTATGAAATACACTTCAGGTGTTCTGCTTTAGTGCACTTATTATTACTACATAAGAGGGTAGAAATGATGTGTTGTTAATATAATACAGTGTGATTTAATATGAGGGATGGTGGGAGCAAGTTATTCCACCCACATGTAATAATAATCATATCTCCAGTTTAATGTCACACACCGTCATTGTTGTCCTTGGTGCTCATTCAATAGAAGACACCTGGCGTACGGGATTATGACTTCAGTGTTGCTTTCAGGGACTTCCTGCAGGTTGATTAAAACACCTTTCTCTTCCTGACACGCTGCACTGATGCAATCGGGGATTAAGTGCCTTGCTTCACGGCACTTCAGCAGTAGATGTTTTAAGGAAGAGAGCTTCTCGTGCAGTTTTTAGAGCTGATTTTTACTGGGATTTTCTGAGGCGTTAAAGCCGGCAATTTTCTGGTTGGTTGCACGTCTTTGTTTTTTACGGTTTAGGCTCCTGTTGCTTCGACTAGGAATGACTCCTGTTCTCACTTCATCCTCATCAGGTTACAGTGTTTATATTAAGTCATCCAAACAAATTGCATTCCCATTCAACAAATGTACATTGTCAATAACTTTTCAAGGGAAATGTATTTTCTCCCGATTAGTTTGAAATGTTTCCTTACCTTAGTATATGGGACACCCACTCTCCAAGGTGAGTTATCATCATGCCCTATAAGCTTGTGCTTGGTGCTCGGAAATAGGTCTCTAATCAAAATCTGTTTAAGATGATATACACTCCTGTGTAAACTAAAAGTATACGTTGACTTATTTTAACTTAAGTTAGCTTAGTCAAATGTCAAACATACATGTTTGAAGCCAAACTGTGATCTTTGACTAAACATTATCAAGTCCTTTTGTTGTTTTTCCAATTTAATAAGTGCAAAAATGTATTTTTTTTGTATGGGGATGTCATTTCTAAAAGGAACGATTGTTAAAGGGAAGCGTTTGAGAGGCCTGCAGTCCTTAATAAGAGAGGGAAATGTGTTACCAAATGTTTTTAAGAGAAGGGGTGTTAAAGTGCAGGTCACACGTGATCTGAAAGAGACACCGTTAACCCCCTGGGAGAAAAAGACTGAAGCTGTGTAAATATGAACTGAGTTTTACAGAGAATAGCAGTTTACAAACGTACAGTGTTCTTCAGCAGATGTCTGTTAGTGGAAATGGAAGTAAGGTACTTGAAGAAAACATACCGTAGTGATTTACTGTCGCCTATTCATAGACACATAAAGACTAAATATATGTACATGTGATTTTTAGTTTGAAACCTATTTATTCAGGTTCTTTACTTAGAGGGCAAAGGGTCCTCTGAAGATTTGCCTCTTGTATGGTTATTGTACGCAGACCTGGGACAAACTGCGGTAGGGATTTGTCCCAACATGCCACCATTTGATCCTCGTCTTTGTTCATGTTGCACTCCATCTCTTTGGACATTTCACACCACTTACTGTGCGTCCTTTAAGGTGCTTCCTAAGAGGAGGGAAGGAGCTTAGTTTCAGGTAGAAAATAAACTAAAAGAAACACAGAAAAGTTTTAGTCTTGAGAGAAGCAGCGTGGAGGGGTCATTTTGTCCCGGGTCTGGTGACGTTCTGGTGGCTCTGGACAACAGTGAGTTGCCTTCAAAGAGAGACTTAGTTTTCTGGTGAAGCCACTCCCAAACAGCACTGACACGTTCTGTAGATTTTATTTACCGTAAATTCAGAAAACTACTCTCTTCAATCCATAATTACAATCACAATGATGCAGATTTGTCTTTAAGTTGTACAAACATGTGGACATCTGGGTAACGCTTGGTTTAACAATCTTTAAAAAACATATGTAATTGTAAGAAGGTTATAAGGAGGCATCCATTTAAATTGGACAAACTAGTACACTTCGAATTTCAATTCATCGGTATAATGACTTTGACCATAGTTTGTATAAAAATATCAGAATCAGGTTTATTACCAGGTAGGTTTACACGTACGAGGAGTTTGACTTGGTGTCGTGGTGCATCAAAACAAGAATTAAAAACACAGGTAGAGAACTAGAAAAATATAAAACATATAGTAAAAATAACAGTATTTACATTGCAATGGAATGGAGTGATAAGGAATAAAATATGGAATAAAAAATCGGCAGTAATACAAAATATTGTTGTATATGGTTTTCTTCCCAAGCGCTTCCATTGGAAGAGGCGGCCATTATGAATAGCAAGGTTTTAATATTCAAAATAAAACTTAACCTATCATTTAGGACATTTAACCTTAAAAATGTAAGGTGTAACATCGCCTTACAGACAAAACAAAAGAGTGTATTTCAAACTGTTAGTATGAATAGTTGTCCCACTCCATCTTGTATTTTGTTCCAGCAATGGTTCTATTACTACAATTTTACAATTTGAGTGTCTATGTCAGCGTGAGCTAGGAGTGGCTTCCCGTGGCTAAGTCTTCCTTTAACTTGCCTGTTGTTGCCTTTAGTTTCTAATGTTCTCTTTTCTTAAAAAGTAAATACATATATGCGTAGGTGAATAAAAACATATCAAAGGTATTCTGGGCAGACTCTTTGAAGTAACAAGATATATTAAAGTTCTTTGGATAATATCACGACTTCTACTAGTACTGCTTCGAGGGAGATGTTATCAGATTATAGCTTTAAGAGAGATTCAGTTTTTTCTTTTCTTATAAAGACAAAGAAACGTTTTCTGTCAATACCTTCTGGTTTCTTTTTTTGGTTTGGGGTTTTTTGACCAAATGGTTTGATTATAAAATCTAAATGAAAAAATGTCGACCATGGCTCACTTCTTTACATGCAAAAAGATGCACCATTTTATTTAATTTTGTTTTGTTTTTGTTGAGTGATCTCGACGTCCTCTCCAGTCGGATGGCAAGTATCAGCTCATGTAAATATGAAGACCAATGTATTTTTATTTCTGTCTCATTTGAGATGAAAGTCCTGATTATTTGCACATGATGTTGGACCATTTTTATGACAATGCTTATGGTTGATAGGCATGTTTACGTTTATGACTTTCTGACGACTTTACTGTAATTTCACTTTTATTTCTTTATTATTTAATAAGACAAAGTTTTATTATTTAAAACGCTAACATATCTGGAGCAGAGAAGATTCTTTTGGTTCTATGTTTGGTTTGGTTTTACTGTCCCACGCCAATTATATACCAATAACACCATGTTCTGTTTACAATGACATGTCAATAAAGGTGGAAACTTCATTCTCTAAAATGTGTTTTTATTCAAACATTCAGACACACATGCTCATGGATCATTTTGAATACAAGTATACTTTTAAAAGAAATTACAAATATTGACTTTCTGTTTGAATATAGGCCTACCTGTATTCACTCTCTGTCTCCCGAAGAAGCCCCCTCTGCTCTGCTCTGATTGGCCAGTGTTTCAGTCCCTGCACCATTCGTGTAGCCGTGAATGACTTTAGCATCACTTTCTACAAATATATCAATTGTTAATTACACGAGTTTAAAACTCGATTCTGATTGGTCACTTTGGAAATTCCAGAGGTCTGTTATTTTTCATTAGCAGAGTGTTGTTGAGGAAAACAGACTGTTGCTAATGTCAACCACTGTTGCTAAGGAGAACAGACTGTTGCTAAGGAGAAAAGACTGTCGCTAGGGAGAACAGACTGTTGCTAAGAACAACAGACTGTTGCTAAGAAGAAAAGACTGTTGCCAAGGAGAACAGACTGTTGCTAAGGAGAACACACTGCTGCTAAGGAGAACAGACGGTAGCTAAGGAGAACAGGCTGTTGCTAAGGAGAACAGACTGTTGCTAAGGAGAACAGACTGTTGCTAAGGAGAACAGACTGTTGCTAAGGAAGCTCTGATCAAGGGACTGTTACTATGAACGTTATCCCTTACAGAGTTGTGACATGAGAACATTTTGAAAGTCCTGACGGCTCATTTAAAGGCACAGTTTCTGAATATGGAGGTTTTTCTCTGTGAATTTAGCGATTTGATACCTTTATCAGTGTTCAAAAAGCACCGACACCTACTTTACAATTAAAAAAACACTCCCTGTTTCCAAGGTGTCCCCTTTAATAAGGTAACCCAGTGATGGATCTGGAGCAGGGCCACGTCTCAAACACACCTCTATCTATCACCTGGCAAGCACACTTATACCTGGTCTCACCGCTCTGTCCTGTTTGGCTTACTGTGTGAAAGCTCTCGTTAATAGAGACAAGTCCTGGTCAGAGGCTATTAGAATGTCATTTGTGACTTTAACCAGAGCTGTCTCTGTGCTATGATGTGTTCTAAAGCCAGACTGAAAATCTTCAAATAAATCATTGTTTTTTAAGTAATCAGCTGTTTTGCGACCGCTTTCTCAAGAATCTTTGAGAGGAACGGAAGATTGGAAATAGGTCTATAATTGGCTAAAACCTCTGGATCGAGGTTGTGCTTTTTAAGAAGCGGTTTTATCACTGCTACTTTGAATGATGGTGGAACATAGCCTGATAATAAAGACATATTCATAATATTTAATAAAGAAGTGCTAATTAATGGAAAAACTTCCTTCAACAGCTTAGTTGGAATTAGGGTCTAACATGCACGTTGATGGTTTAGAAGAGAGAATCATTGAATTTAATTGTTCAAGGTTTATGGCTGAAAAGCATTCTAGTTTACTATCTAGTGTAATATTAGAACTTACGTTTCCAGGAGCTGTTGATAACACTATACTGGTCAAAGGCAAGAGGTCATTAATTTTGTTTCTAAGAGTAACAATTTTATCGTTAAAAAAGCACATAAAATCATTACTACTGAGTGCTATGGGAATAGAAGGCTCAATCGAGCTGTGGCTTTCTGTCAGTCTGGCTACAGTGCTGAAAAGAAATCTTGCATTATTCTTATTCTCATCTATTAATGAAGAGTAGTAGGCTGCTCTCGCTTTACGCAGTGCTTTCTTATATTCATTGAGAGTAATATGCCAAATTAAACGAGATTCTTCAAGTTTAGTGGAACGCCATATCCTTTCAAGTTGCAGTTTGTACTATTATGTGTTTATTTTCATTCAAAAATATACATCAAACAGACATTTTAGGTTGTAGTTCAATCAGTATTCATCAGTGTAACATAAAGCGCTGTATATTTCTGATTGTTCAGTGTCCACCAGTGAAAGGGCGGCGGTGCGTTCAGATTCTTCATAAAACATAGTTAGATTAGAAACTAAAAAGACAGAGACAGAGAAAAATGTAAAATACAGAACGAGGATGGGGAAACACATGTTATAGCTAATAATAGTCCATTAGTAAATCAATGTTGATGCTTTGATGAACAACAATTACACTGCCATTGAATATAAGGTTAGAAAATACAACATTTGATGTATTTAATGTGACTTCTGGTACAAACCTCCCCCACCTCCGGTCTCCTAAGTGAATACAGATCATTCTTTATTTAACCAGATACAGACATCTCTGTACATCTTCGTGAACTTCAGCAATTGCTTAGTTTGTTTTTCGGTGGCTCCATGAATCTCTAATGCTTTCACTAAGCAGTTGTTCCAGGACCACTTTAGTACCAGTTGGTGCACGAGATCATGAAACACATGTTGTCCACCTTCCTGTTTCCCATCTGGCCCTGGGGCAGCTCTCCTGGTGTGTCTGTGGGATTAAAACACATTTAATAAATCCTTATCTTTCTTTCATAATGTGTGCAATGATATTTATTCTTGCCATGTTTTAGGATCTTAAACAGTTGAAGATGACTCAAACTAAACAGCTAAGTCACTTTGGGGGAAAGGGGTGGTAAGTACTGTAATTACATCAGAGTCTTAATGTACAGGTACTAAGACAACGAATTGCAGTTAGCATCCAACCAGACATACCAACCCAGTCTCATGGCATTTCGTGTTCACCAACACGATTTTCCCCTTTTTTTTGTGTTGCACAGCACAATTTTTAAAGCAATGTATTTCTACTGGTAATGTGTTTTGTGCCTGCAGCACGCCTTTTTGTCCGGTTGGGTCGTGGAAGACCGGAAGCTGTGTGGTTCATAAAAACATGTTCTTACTCAATATCAAGCCACAATTATTGCTTTTATTTTAAATCGTGTAATTTCGGATTTTTGTTGCCGTCTGTGAGGAAAATAAATGGCTCAGAGCCTCAGGATACTGACATCTGTATTTTTAAATCTTTTTTTCCTTCTAATTTGTTATTCTTTTCAAAATAACACACTGTTATTTACTCACCAATAACACACAATTATCCTTGCTTTTATTTATTGGTTTAATTCCATAATCTCTGGCTTTGTTGGCGTCCGTCAGGAACTGAATTTCAAAATAAAAATAACCGGAAACAGACGTAGGCATTTCGAGCGATTACCCAAGATCCTCAGCTATGATTTAAGCTCGCTCATTGGATGTTTTAGCCGCAATGCATGCTGGGATTTGGTGTTTATATGATATGAAATCCGGAAAACATTTTAAAAGAATAAAAGAATACTTAATTCTGAGTGTGCTTGCTTTTCTCTTTGAAAGTCATCTCATAACGGCATTGTAATACACGGTTCGGCTGCATTGTATATTACAGATCTGCCGTAGTTCTTTATTTATAGAGCCCTGATGAGAAGACCTTTGGAAAAACTGAGAAAATGCCGCCGAAACTGAATACTTGACGTGGATCATAAATATATCAACAATTAAACAACATCTTCAATTTCTCTTCACACAATACGTCTCCTTGCAGTATCAACACTAATTCGGCTTGACTTTTACATTTGATCTAATTCACAGATAGGTTATATTTACACCATAACGGTGCACAGCTGATATAAAAGGACTGTAGTTTTTAAAGATATTACTGATTTGATTTGAATATAAGAATGTAAATACTGAGTCTGAAATAGTATAGCAATATGCTGTAAAATTATGTGAAAGCATGCATACAACTACACATCTTCAGATGTTGTACATACATAAGTGTCCTACACTAATAATACAAAGTTATTATGGCTGTGTGTACCTTGTGTGCACCGCCTAGTGGTTAAAGCACGTTATTGAATTATTGTTTTTATGTGTTATATTTGATTAAAAACATATTAAGAGTACATACTTTCATAGGAGGGAAAGTAGAAGGTCTGTGATAGAAATATAAAATATAAAAAATCAAGAAGATACTGTAAGTGATCTCTACAATAAAACAGTTTAGTGCAGGATGTAGAAAGATATTAATAGGAGGAGGTGCAAAACAGACAAACTAATTAACTTTTATTTAAACATGAAATAATACTTTAGATTAAGGTCTTCTTTTAAATAAGAAAAAAGCTTTGGGGGTATCTATCTACAGATACATATTAAGCCTGACAAAGTACTTAACGTCTAATATATTGCTTTCCTGCAATGTTAACTATGTTGAAGCACTTATTTTAACTGATATTATACATATGAATTATACTCTTATGTATGTAGATAGAATTTCAATCAGGAGAGACGTGATGTATGGAATACATATTTATTATCGGTCACATTATATAAATGAAACATAATGATGACAGTTCATAACAAGTGAATGAAATGGTGTTTTGGCGATTAGGCCCAGGTTTTGTAGGATATCATTCGGGAAGGGAAGAACCGTTTCCGATGAACCCCCCGGGTCTAGACACTGGTGGTGGTGATAAGTGGTTAGGTCCGGTTGGAAGGGAGAAGGTTAAGCTTGGTCCTGAGTTGAAAGCAGGAGGCGAAGGGGTCGAGGAGGGTTGTGCGTCAACACCTGGAAGACAGCTGATAGGAAAGGGGAGAGCATATACAGAGGGATTAACAGGTGCGACGATTAGGCTTGTAAATGGAGGGGAGTGATAGGTTAGCTGAGGAGTGGCGCTCCCTCTCATTTAGATGCAGGGAGCGAGTATTGCCATGACGTGCAATACGGAGTGATAGGTCTTCCTGTCTGAACTTGCGCTAAGCTTCATAAGAAATGTGCAGAATATGACAGTTTAATGGTGGAGGTACACACATATTGATAGATGTCTTGTAATGCACTGTTGAGGAACCTGTGACCTAAGATTTGCATTCATTGCATACACCGTAGTTGTGTATATGATATGTCAATAAACCTTTGAAAATCTTGAAATCTTGAAAGGGATGTGCAAAATAGCCATAATATACAGTCTTTAGTTAACTATTAGTAGAGAATAACGAGTAATGAATATACTTTATTACTCGTTTCCATTCATGTCAATTGCAGATAAATGTTTAGTCTTCTCAAGCACCAACTA